TCCTAAATACATACTTGACATATCGCTTGATACATCACTGAATATTGGCGTGGACACACTGAATTTTGCGTGGCGTATACATGAATATTTGCATGGACACATCATTGAATATTTGCGTGGATCACACTGAATATTTGCGTGGACACATCACTGAATATTTGCGTGGATACATCACTGAGTATTTGCGTGGATACATCACTGAGTATTTGCGTGGACACATCACTGAGCTGAAGCGCTCTTTGCGATCTGCCCTATCGTATTCTTATCTTACGACGTACGACAATGAAAAAACCACGCAGCTATGGGCTTCCTGTTGAAAGCGATTTGATTCCGAATCTGAATCGCCTAATCTGCCATGCAAACAGGAATCTTTCATTTCCGCTCCCTGACGAAAGGTTACTTGCTGTATACGCTAATGAAGTCGGATTGGTTTGTTTTATGGCCCAATCCTTGAAATCTTGAAATCGAGCCTGCCGTTAAGCCCTTCCAAGACCTACGTAGTCGGCTGCACGTAATGATGATAGTGGGTAACCAGCTGACTGCATCATGAAGTCATAACGGAAATTATGTACTAGGCAAAAATAAATCGTTCATCACCATGCATCATACAGCTGCCGGTCTAACACACAGTCTCAATAGCGCGTTCTTCCCTGGAGATCTGTCAAGATGTTCAACATCTGTCCAAGTCCTGGACAATGAGAATGCTATAAATGTCCCAAACATGTATTTACGTAGTGAATAAAATGGTAATGCAAAAGGTAAAGACGGCGGTACCATTGAGATCGGAGCTCCACGAACATGCAAAACCTATCCTGAGATGCACTTTAGAAATTGTACAAAACGCTCAACACGTTCAGAAGGACCAGGCTGATAAGCCGCAGCAGGGAGAGATCGAGTTGATCTTGCGCGAATGCCCTCAATAAGTCCAACGACAAATCTACGATGCACACAGTGTAGGTCTAGGATTCCCCGAGGCCATGATCGTGTCGAAACGGTAACATCTAAACAGTGCTCTCGAGAGTTCCGGTAAGATGTTCACCAACACATCAAACACGAGCCTTCCCTGGCCAGAGAGTGGAGCTCGTGGGTGCTTCACAAACTGCTCTCAGCACACTTCGGCACCGCCGGACGTCACGCATTGATGAACATTGTTTTTCTTGGTGAGCGGGTGCACCAGCGTTTACTTGCAGGGATGCCAGCCAAATCATTCCTGGCTGTTCTTTAGTGCTACAAAGGAGCGAGTTCACGTGAACTATACGTTTGATACCTTTACATAACCTGTCAGCGAACCCTCGTAGTTGTGTGCTCACAGACCATATCCGTACACACAACGCCTTAACCACCACCGATATCCCGTAACTAGCAAAATACAGATATTTACAAGTAGAGTTTTACGAACCACCCTATTAGACGAGCCCTGGACTTATGTCGCGATGGAACGTTGGCTAGCAGCGTCCAGGAAAAGTGAAACACAGCGGAATACATCGCCTGCATAACATCGGTTAAATGTACACTAGATTGTCAGTGCTTGCATCACAAGAGGTGAGCTTGCTCCAATCTAAGATACGAATGTTTTCTGAAGCGGTAACAGGCATCCCGCTTGCTCAACACCAAACATTTCACAGACCGGCATTCGCACGACTCATGCAAACTAGAGGCTGGTCGCGACTTACATCGAAAGCTATATTCACATTCATAATTGCATATTCAATGAAGAGAACATAAAATTGGTTTTCACACCTCCTGTTTTCGTAAGTTTCATGATACACCGTGAAATCAACGACATTGCGAAGGTGCCGCCTGCTACGCGCGTGGTTTGGCAAAACGTTTCGTCACAGACAAAGCACAGTATTATCACACGGAGCATATCTGATAGATCCGCTGTCACGTCCCCGGGTGGAGCCGCTCTCGCGTCTCCCCGCCTCAGCCCGATGTCGAACCCCACCGCACCACCTCCGACCCACCCCGACACAGCTCAGTCCACATCACCCGTCTGTCCTCTGCCAATGATATCCGTTCCGTCCTCCCTGCAGGGCGCGGGATATCTACCACCGCGCGAGAACGGAACAAACCGTGTCGACTGCCCCGTGCTACTCACGGGGTATACGTGCGTCGCTGGTAATGGGACTGCCCTGTGCTGTGTGCAAGTACATTGGTCGGCCACTGGTTTGTGCCATATGGCAAATACATTGTCAGGATTGTGTTCCGAGCAACTGCCATTGTTCGCCAGCCGTCAGTTGCCAATTGCCAGTATAATCCTGCGTTGCAGACATGGATGTAACGTGTATAATTTTTTCACTTTATATGCATCACGGTGTCAGCTGCTTTGCCCATTATTAATAGAGCGAACTGACTGTTAATTTGTGTTCATTGTTAATCCGCTAATGATTTTGGAGTTTCCGTTAGACACGTTGAGAGCAAGTGGTTGCAAGATAAACGCCGCATGACCAGTGTTCTATTCGGCACGTGAAGCCCCTGTGAGAAAAACGCACTATTTCGCAGGAGTGATAATGTTTGCTGAGCTTGAATTATCTACGAATGGTTATGTAAGCATCACTCGGAATGGTCTTGCATGCAGCTAGCATTGGAGATCAAGTACAGCCACCACCAAAATAGGATCCGACTAACCTCGGTCGTCATTGATTTGATGCAATTTGGATGACGCTGTTGCTCTTAGAGGTACAGAAAATGTCCGTTTTGCCACAAAGCGCACCTCGGTAATTCGTTGCATGCATTTTCCAGCTTTACCATTCCAAATGCAGCTCTGATTTGGGGGTATTGATGCAGCACACTCCTCTGTTGGGCTGGCTTGGTTCTGATGTGCGGTTTCTGCGTCGGTTTCTCCGCCTACAATTGTTGGCCGTGACGTGTCAGGTCGGTCAGAGATGGCGCTAGTTGTCAGTTGGGGCCATTGGCTGGGGCGAGCTCGTGCGAGCCGGGGTGGGCAGACCCTCATACTTGCTGGTAGTGGGCCCGCTTGGCGTTCTTGGCTAGCAGACATGCCAGCGTGATTCCAATCACCTGAGGAAAGGAATCGTCATGTCATGCGCACAAACTGGGTGTCTTCTGCGCGGCCGTGCAAACTCGAGCACAAAACCTAACCCAGTAAGGACCGATCACCCGCCACGTTTTCCTCCGCTACAGCTGCGTCTTGCCCCCTCGCAGTATCCCGCCGCGCAGGAGCTGCGCTGCGGTCACAGCACGAGCCCGTGTCCCGACAACCCTGGCGGGAGCCCCGGGCGCCCGCACACGCCTCAAGAGAAGAGTCCCTGCACAGGTAAGGCTCAGCGGTGGGGGTCCATACAATGGGTGCAGTGTTGGTCCACTGCTTCTTTTCTCCTCCATTACGCAGCACTGACATGACCTTCACCGCCGACAAGGCTCTGTTTCAAGCGGAACCAACTAAACAGGATCCATCACGACCATTGCTGCTGGGACTGGCCATGGACTAAGAATCATATGGTGATCAAGTCACTTTTTGCACACGTGTCAACGCCACAATTCAAGATCGCGATCCCGAGATTTGGCTTTCACACACCTCATGGGGCCGTGCTCAAAGGCAAAGGTCAGCCCGGTTTGCCGGAGCTCCTGAGAGGTACGCTGGCCGCGGAGACTGACCTGGAAGAAGGCGAGTCCAATCGCAGCGCCGGCGATGATGCCAATGTTGGTGTAGAAGAAATCCATCACCACCTTGTAGCAGCCCTGAGGCAGCAGATGCATGGCCTCAGCGGCGGTTGGGAAGCCCGAGGAAAGATTTATGAAAGAGGAGCATTAACAGACGCGGGAATGAGTCTGTTCATGGCCGTGTCGAGTGCTCATGAGCAAGGGAGTGAGACAGCGAGCAATGGTGGCCCACAGGAGCCAGACCGGCTATGACGAGCGCTAAGAATGTCAGGGCCGTCAACATTAAAACTGGGAGTATCAATGGTACGGACCTGCATAAGCAAAACAGGATGCAGTCACCGGCCCGCTTTTGTCAGCCCACTGGTATCACGAGGAGCATGGCTGGAATGTGGAGGGCCGTGGAGTCCAAATCATTATGGTATGTGCTGGAGTCGCTAGTTCCAATGAAAACATTGATTTGGTGTCAAGACGACAAGTGTTAAAGGGGACAGAATGCTAGTCATTCAGCGTGAGGATTTATAAATTCTAAGCATATTGGGATGAAACGCAAAATGAACGTAAAGTTGTTCTTCGTATGGGAAAACGGAAAACATGGAAAGATGGCACAATAACTTGGGTGCAAAGTCGACCTGAGTGGTAATGATTCCGACACAGGTGGAGAATTTCCAGATGATAAGAAACGTGAAACACACGAAACGTAAGTAGAAGTAGTGAAAACATCCAAATACCACATCTGAGTGCAAAAAACAAAGCGCAAGTTGAGAGCTGGAGCCCTCGGGATGAATCCATCATCAGATGGTGGGAGGGCCAAGGTCCTTTTGAGAGCAGACTCCAATACGTGCGCAAATGACACCAAAATTAAGCAAAAATGGTGCACATGTAGGCGTTTGCCACGGTATTGTCAAAAGCCACCGACCCGTTCCCACCACTGGATTCAGCCCTGGTCGTGGAGCACTCGTCCTGATGTTTGCCTAAGGGTATTTCAGTATTTCATCCACCCGATGTTTGCCTACGGGTATTTCAGTATTTCATCCAGAGGCTGGCAAGTTCAGAAAATAAAAGGAGCAAATGAGTGGGTGAAGGAACCATTATACACCAATCTTTACTGATCGAGTAGGACGCGTGACCAGCAATCAAAGCCCAACTTAATTTCACTGTTTAATGAACGTTCGAAGCACGGTGCTCCTCTTGGGCTGCTATGTCTGGTCAAAGCCAAGAGCATGAAGCGCACCGGACAGCTCTGTTTTGTTTGGAAGCGTTGGTCAGGTATCTGTGCTGTTGCTACGCACGTAGCCCAGCTGGAGGACTATTGAGAACTCAACTGCGGCTGCCAAGCCACAGAGTCAACATCCGCCGGGCCCAGTGATCCTGCTTCACTAAACGGGCTCTGGCTCTAGCTCCCGTGTCAATATAGTTCTCATGCATCGGATTGTCGACTCTGGCGCGAGTTGAGTGAGTCAATGCACCGGCAGAGATCGATCGGGCGTTTTTATTTCCTCACATGCCGGTGTCGCAACCACCTGAGGCGTAGTAACGGTTGACCACGCAGCGGTCATGGCGAGAAAGCTCGGCACTGGAGAAATTGCCCGTCAATCCCCACACCACATAAGGGTCCAGCTGTACCCACCAAGGTGCAGGACAGCCGCGGTCTGTTCAGCGCTATATCCAGCATGGGCTCACTCAGGACGCGCGCGGAGCCCGGCCGTGCCAGTCACGCTGTCATGGACGGTGGTGCAGCGGGTGTACCCGCTCAGGACGCGCGCGCGGGGCCCGGCCTTGCCTCTCACACTGTCACGGACGGTGGTGCAGCGGGTGTGCCCGATCAGGGCGCGCGCGGGGCCCGGTCTTGCCTCTCACACTGTCATGGACGGTGGTGCAGCGGGTGTACCCGCTCAGGACGCGCGCGCGGGGCCCGGCCTTGCTTCTCACACTGTTGTGGACAGTGGTGCAGCGGGTGTGCCCGCTCAGGGCGCGCGCGCGGGGCCCGGCCGTGCCTCTCACACTGTCATGGACGGTGGTGCAGCGGGTGTGCCCGATCAGGGCGCGCGCGGGGCCTGGCCTTGCCTCTCACACTGTCATGGACGGTGGTGCAGCGGGCGTACCCGCTCAGGGCGCGCGCGCGGGGCCCGGCCTTGCCTCTCACACTGTCATGGTCGGTGGTGCAGCGGGTGTGCCCGATCAGGGCGCGCGCGCGGGGCCCGGCCTTGCCTCTCACACTGTAATGGACGGTGGTGCAGCGGGTGTGCCCGCTCAGGGCGCGCGCGCGGGGCCCGGCCGTGCCTCTCACACTGTCATGGACGGTGGTGCAGCGGGTGTGCCCGATCAGGGCGCGCGCGGGGCCCGGCCTTGCCTCTCACACTGTCATGGACGGTGGTGCAGCGGGCGTACCCGCTCAGGGCGCGCGCGCGGGGCCCGGCCTTGCCTCTCACACTGTAATGGACGGTGGTGCAGCGGGTGTGCCCGATCAGGGCGCGCGCGCGGGGCCCGGCCTTGCCTCTCACACTGTCATGGACGGTGGTGCAGCGGGTGTAACCGCTCAGGACGCGCGCGCGGGGCCCGGCCTTGCCTCTCACACTGTCATGGACGGTGGTGCAGCGGGTGTAACCGCTCAGGACGCGCGCGCGGGGCCCGGCCTTGCTTCGCACACTGTTGTGGACGGTGGTGCAGCGGGTGTGCCCGATCAGGCGCGCGCGCGGGGTCCGGCCTTGCCACTCACGCTGTCGTGGACGGTGGTACAGCGGGTGTCGTCCCACTTGGCGCAGCAGGAGGCCGGGTAGGCGGGCGTGCCGTGCGAGCGCGCGTACGGCGTGTTGTTCCAGTCGGACGTGCCGTTGATGCCGCAGCACTTGAGCTGCGCACAGAGGCGGGCGTTACACCGCAGTCAACGCATCCCACATCGGGTAGCGCTTTGAGTGAGGGGCGGGGCACAACGCAGCAGTAATGCTACGGACATCATCCAGCCGTTGACGACGAGGCTCTCCCCACGCTGCAGAGAGAGGATGAGGGCCACCAACACCATGAGCGTCGAACACCAACAATGTGCCGCGGATTTGCCGGGCCAGTGCAGTTGTGTTGCGTGGTTTGGTCCAGGGCGGAACGAGTCACGATATGCCCAGAAGTGACCCTAGTACACGGTGGGTGCAGCACGCGACAATTAGACAGTTATGTAGTTATGTCTACGTGGCAAGGCCTTCGGAAAAAGGGTTTAAAACCAGAATCTGATCAGAATAGCTCACTCCCCTGCTGCCAGATAAGACAACTATGCATTGCATTGACACGACCAGGGGAGTGAATTTTTAAGGCCGGGTGGAGAGAGGACTGAGCTTATATGACCACCCTGCCCTCGCTTCCTGATTTCTTCCCTGATTTCGGCCTTTTCGACTCACGGCCTTTTAAAAACACAAATTACAAAATTGGTCGGTCCCAAAATGGCTGCATATCGAGAAATGACTTCCCATTTGAAGTCAGTGTGGCCGTGATAATGATGATGCATGATGCCTACATAGAAAGTGCTACGTTTAGGACCTATTGCACTAGCAGTTCAGACACTTGCTGCACTTCGTTGGCTCAGTATTCCCTTGTTTGCACGGTTGTATAAGGGGGAGGGAGGGGGGGGGGGGGGGAGGGAACTCAGGGAAGCGCTGCGGAGTTCAAGTCATCACTGGGGTGCCGAGGCCCTGCGAAAGCTTCGCAGCGTATTAAGTCAGGATAATGTCGCAAACGAGAAGACCTTAATATTCTTACCGTGGACTGGATAGCGTCGATGGCGGCCATTTTGTCCGTGTTAACACCGTACTCCTGAAGACCGTCCCTAAGACCGTCCTGCGATCAGCACAGATCAGAACAAGTCAGCGGGCCTCGCTCTCCACTGCACAGCCTTACTGCACTGTCATACAAACGTCCACTTCGGTGCATCCTGTATGGAGACGCCAATTTTTACTTTAGCTTCATTCTGACGCGTTGGAAAATTGCATGTATCAGGAAGCTTGTTGCTTTCTCATATACAACGCTAGGCATAGGCCTAGGGGTAGGCGGGGGAGGGGAGAATGAGTGGGAAAGGGGCTGTCAGAATGGGATATGCTCCCAACCTACTCAAGCCGATTAGCATATCTTTCAAGAGACATTCAGCGTTTGCGCTCTCAAGAATAAGTGTTTTGCTATGGATGTGAATGACGTCATAAATGAGAAATGCGAATGGTCTACGTCCTCAACGCACAGATACTTTTCGGAACGTACCTACCTATGGTACAGTTCTTGCTTGCTCTTGGTTTGCATTCACGGACAGGATTCCCAGAAATACTTCGAAGTGTTAGCAACATTTTTTTATAAGGTAGCACGCATATCTTTGCGCCTCATCGTCTACGCTTCTGCTCATGCGACAATATGTGTATTACTATAAAGATTGGCGGGCAAAAATGTAGACAACGAGGTAAATAAGGCATATAACTGTTTCTATAGGGACGTCATGAATGCTACCCGTTTGCTGTTTGAGGGCCAATTTTATAAGAATTGCTAAACTTACACGGTAGCGAGATGATAATCAGACAGCCTTTCAGCTTCTACACAGCCTGCCAGGACCTGGGAGAATTGCCCGAAGCGTGCAAGGGAGAAGCTAAGGGAATCGGCTTTCGCTTGGTATCTGGGGATGAATTGAGATTGCTTTGATTAAATTTAACATGATTGAAGCGTTTTCTATCCCACACTCAAGCAAAACGCCGATTTTGAAACCTTGCATCGCTAATTTGCGATCAGAAGGCCACATAGCCGGCTAACCGGACAGCTGTTGGCTCTGTTTCGGCCAGCCGTCGACCCGAAAACTGGGTAGCCGCAACCAGCCTTGGTGTAAAAGACTGTAAAGCTTATTTCATTGCATGTCCTTCGGGTGCTTCGAAAATAAAGGGGTTTAGTCATGTCCCTGGACTTCTTGGCAAGTTGTTCTTTTTTTTAAAGGCAAGCTCACAAGGTGTGAGTCATTCCACTGCCTGGCTTAATATATTTACCTTGCCTGGACATCAACTTCGGGTTGAAAGTTCCTAATGATTTTGAGTGTTTCCCAGACCACCAAATTTGAGAAAGAAGTACACCAAATGGAAGAGTAGTTCCATTGCTGCCTATTTTGGGATATATCTAGTTTTGTTTTCATCCTAATACTACTTAACTTATTTTGGAAAACCACGCTCATGTATGCTTCTACCTGCTATGTACGTAGGGATCAAAAAGTACACATATGATAAATGCATCGTATGCTAAAATAACCGAAAGATGAGGCCGGTAATTTGTTCTAGACATGTAGCTCATCCTTGTGGACAAGTTTGACAACCGTCTTCAATTTAATGGTTATTGCTCGCATTTGATCGACTGCACCTGACTTCTGATGCTCTGTTTGTTATAACCCACCTTCACTTCAAGACGCTTGAAAACACATGTGACCTCGCGTTCAGTGATAGGTAAGGGTGTTACCAATGGTTTCAGTTAAATTTCAGAGCACAAAATGTAGTTTGTTTGTGTACAAAAGGCATTTTCAGCTCTAAAACAATGAACCTGTTTATCTCATTTAATGTCGTCTGGCTGAATGCTAAGTTTGTTGATTTGCTGCTCGCCTGTCGAATACAGAAGCGAAATATGGGTATGTTACCCTCCAGCAAGTTAAAACTCTTCTTGACCTGAAAAATTATCTGACGACCAAAATTTGTAATTGAGCCCCGCCGTCAAATTTTCAGGTCTAAATAAACGTATGGTGTCTACCAACATTTGAGAGATTTGTTTATAGATAAAGCACTTAGTAACATGCAGCATACGATGTCGTTATGCGCTATGCTGGTGCTCTGCGCGCAAATGAGGCTCTCAATCAAAAAGAAAAATTTTTAAGTACACCCTTGTCATTGCGAAATTCCGCATGCTCCCCTAATGGCGCTCCTGGACCGGATCAAAGCCTACAAATGGTAGTGATAGCTAATCCACATCTAATCCATGCGTTCGAACTTAAGCCCATAACGAAAGCTTGAAAATCCCTCCTACACCCCTGAGTCACGAAGTAATCACGTTCAGTTACAATTATGAACGGATTCGCACCAACAGCTGTCGGTCAGCGTCATGTACCACACACGGCGAAGTAAAAAAAAAAAACAAAAAGCAAACACCCACAGATCTATGCATGATCCGCATGCTACGCAGCATTTAAATAAGGGGCAAGAATGATGCCGGAATGATACCGAAACTCGATGCCGAGTCTTGCGTTATCGTCACATTGCGAAACGACATCAGTTTAGATTAACGTCACCAGCGTGTCGCTGCACCACGGGTGGCCACGCACCTGGAATCCGTGGGAGAGCTTGCGTCGGTAGGCGTAGGCCGAGATGCCGGCGGCCAGCACCACGAAGAACACCAACAGCAGGAAGAACGAATACTGAAACGGCCAGTGCATACTGCGATTGGTGTTCGAAGACTCACTTAAGCGGCCACTTTGTCCATTAAACGCAGAACGAGAAGATCACATTGCTTGGTGATGTACTAGTCGACAATTCTATCATATTTAGAAAGGGCATTGCCCCTCAAATGGAGGAAAATGACTGCTGCGTCAGCAACATATCACCCATACATCGTTTCTCATGAAACCATGGTGGCGCACACTATCTGGCACCGACTGGATCAATATTATCGCCCGGTGAAGCCAAGCGGCTACAAATGCTACATATAACTGCATGACAGCTCTTAGTGTCGAAATTACTGAACAAGATGTTAGTGTTTTGAACCCCAAAAGCCATAGCGACCTGGGGGCCCTATTGACCCCTTCCCCCCGGAGGTGCACTGACGATGTAGAGCAGGACGGGCTGGCTCTTGACGGTGCAGCAGCAGGCGAAGGTGCCCAGCAGGATGATGAGTCCACCGCTGGCGATGAACACGTACGGCACGGAGGCGGAGAACTCGGGCGACACCTCCACGTACTTGTAGAGGCTGATCTGCATCCAGATGCCGATGCCGAGGATCACCAGGCCGCTGACCTGCGGCCAGAGCCGGACCCACTCTTGGTCAGCGGCGCACACCGACACGGCCAGATGCCGATGCCGAGGATCACCAGGCCGCTGACCTGCGGCCAGAGCCGGACCCCCTCTTGGTCAGCGGCGCACACCAGTGCAGAACAGCGGTCAGCCGTTTACTGGCGGACAGTAGATGACTATCATTAAAGCAGAACTCAAAATAATCCTACGTTGATAGAATTTGCGATTTGTGCGCAGGAAAAATACCGAAACTCTTGTCAAACATGAGCCTAACCGGTTATCACACAACAACCACAGCATATGGACGGGGTAAATTCAAGCTTTAAACGTGTTAGTCTAAAAAAGCCAGTAAATCTCGTCGCTCGGTAAACACATTGTATTGGCGTCATTGTAATTGCGTGGAACTTTAGCACAAGGCCGATAAACGATGTTTTGTATTCCAGCGGCTTGCAGCAAAATAGCGCCTCATTTGAGCCACGGAGTTCCTCTTGCTGAGCGTTCGTTGGGTTCACATGCTTATTTGCGCGGATCGCAATATATTTGTGCATGAGGCGTACAATGTGTGATCTCGATTTCCCAAGTTGATAAAATGAAACCATGCCCGGCGGTATAATGCACATCATATAGCCTGATCCCAGACGATTCTTGACATGACTGGATGTGAGCAGTATTTTTATGCCAACGGCCAATCTGGCACCCACTACAACTCGCCCTACCTTATGGTCAAGCTGTTTCAGCAAAGGCGGTGAAACTTGGCGATGTTTGCAAACTATCAAAATGACGTCGGGTGGAAAAGTTTGCTGGCATCACACTTTGTCCACTGGTCAGGTTACCTTATGAGGTACACATGGGACAATCACATGTAATACGCCATAACCATTGATAATATTCCTTAAAGGGAGTGGCTTGTCTTAGGTGCTATACAGTCCATGCAGGTGTATACTGCTGCACTGAGACAATGCTGATTTCGATATCAATATTCATAAACATATGCGATAGCCTCCCCTGCCGGCAGTACATTACATCACAATACACAACTATGGATTGAGCATATCAAGAGACACCTCGGGTACAGCCAGGAAGCGGTCTTTGGGGTGAGCTGGCTCGGATTTCATTTCCGGTTTGTGCACCGGCAACAAGGTGGCCATCACATGCCAGAAAGCTGGAATGATACAGAGACGCGGGTGCATCATGTCACATGGGTGGTACCTGCTACCGAAATTTAGGAGAGGGGTGGCAGTTGCGACTCGCGCTCACCTCAGCTCTGAGCCAACCATCCCCAACCTCCCGTGTATCCTACATCCAACACGGATCTAGGGTATTGCCATAGAGAAACATAAGCACAGCAATATTGAGAAGAGGACCAAGCCTCACAATCCACATCACAGCGCTTCGCAACATATTATTTTTCCGGGCTGTCTATCGTTGGCATCATACGCCTGTCATTAACTCCAAACCGCTTGCATTTACGTGTTTGGGCTCACCGCTCATCATACTAGCAGTGTCAAAACTTAAGGCAGAAGACATTTTAATGTTTTGTGAGTATAATCACTCACCGACGAAGATTTAAATGCTCTGAATTATATAATCCTAAACAAGCTGTGCAGATTTATTCTATTTTTAACTTTCGCGCGCACTTCCATCATTTTTAGGTGTTTTTGCCCGATCACGACATTACGACAGACTACATGTTTTGCTTAAGATCCAGCCCGTCAAAACCAGTCCAGTAAATTGTCATATCTTAGTATGACTGAATACATCAGGAACAGAATCCCCGTGAAATTTGCCGCGTGCAAAAATGCGGTCAGTTTTGCACGTTGATAGCCATGCTCTATGAATTGCAGATTTAATATGGAATATCGGGAACTGCCGTCTTCATCCTGCTTGTCATTTATAGCAGCTGTAAGCTGTTCTTTATTGTGATCTAATTCCGCACCTGTTGGACAGATGCCAGCCAATCGTTGTCTGCGAGGTTTCCTTCGTATGTTATCGGCCTTTTCGTAGAGAATGACAGAGCCGATTCTCGCTATCGTGATCTCGTTCTCGCCGATACAGGTGACGCACACCAAACACAAAGCTGTATGCGTTTATACGTGAGGGACCTCAATCGCCTTCTACGCATGAAGGAAACGTGCGGCCATGCTTCAATATTACTAGGTCTGGTCATTATCACCTAGGTTATCTGCGCTGCAATCAAACGGACCCCATCCCCGAATACCTGTAGGCCGATATCTGCCTAAAGGTAGGTATGACCCCCGACCGAGCTTGGCATTATGCTGTAAGCTTTATTTCGGGTGATGGCGGATTTGGCTATACAAACCATCGATACCAAAAATCAGCAGTATTAGACGTCCATGACGTTAACGACCAAATGTCCCCTGAGTTGAGGTAGATACGAATCCTTTCAGGTTTTGTATGAATCGGAGTCGCAGTTCCGCAGAACCATGCTGATTAGAGTTTTCTCGGCGTGGGCTCAAATGTAAATGAAAGTGACAATATATCTTTTCAATCTGATAGCTCTTATAGTGCAACAAAATAAACATCAAATAGTTGACGCATCACAGTCTTGTAAAGAGATGTTTGCCTTGTGCAGGCTTCTGCTTAGCCCATATAAGGATTTATCTCCCATACTTTCGCTATCAGGATGAGCTTCATCGTGATCGTTTTGGGAATCGAGCCGCGCTCCTCTGCGAAATCGAAGTGATGTCAATATTGTGCTGATCTCTTCCTGGATGGAGTCAAAATCAAGCCCGTGTGCTGTAAATCAGCGTCGAAATTCATTAGGGCTCAGAGGGATCAAGCACAGGTCCGCTTGGCAAGTATGTTAAGTGACCAATAGTATATTTTGAGGGCCTCACATGCCTGGTAGCGTGGGTTTATAGAAAAACTCACAGATGTTAAAGAACCTCAAAGCTTGTTTTACAACGGACTACAATAATATGACGTAAGGATCAGACTACACGCGGCAATTTGTGCATTTTTATCTGATTCTCAAACGATTCTCTGCTGTTTGAGCCATTGCATTGATCAAATAGCAGCGTTTGGACTTCATAGTTAGCGTAACGAAACGGAAAGTGCGCCTCATCATCGAAAAAAGTCAAAACGCATCATGTGGCTGGCAGTTATTTACTGTGCTCGCACTCGATTATATTTATGTACGTGGGTTACAGTGCATCGATGGTACAATCTTGTGATGGTTATCACAAGATGGTTTATGGAACATGAACGCTATTATGATCAATAAGTAAGTTTTGTAGCTATGTCCACCATTTTTCCATGATAGCTCTTGCTTTTGCCCTACGTCATAGTTATCTTTCAGTTACATTCCCATCTATTGATCCACCTCTCCCATGACGCAGGTGGCATGCTTCACTCGTCTCGTGGAGCCATTACTCGCATTATACCGCTTTTAAGGTACGACATGGTCGGAAGCATTAAAATGCACGAATGAAATATACCGCGAGTGTTTTTTTCGTAACATGCGTCACTGAGCAAATAACTAAACACAATACTTATTGCTTCCCATGGCAAATGGGAAGGGACAGCTCGCGGGAGCATGGCTCTTACCCAGAAGCAGACGTTGAAGAGCATCAGCAGCATCTTCATACACGACATGGCCGCCACGGTAGCTAACTGCTCCGACATGACTCGTCTAATGGGCAGAGCAGCTGTCACGCGATGGCCCACGGTGCGTCCAGGACCCTACCGCGGCGCTCTCCAGGCTCGATCGATCGGCCGCGATGGCAGAGACATCTATAGACCGCGGTTAGGTACTCGCAGTATTGATTTCTGTCCGCCGTCCAGTGGCCGTTCTGTTTCGGAGCATCTCAAGTGTCTTTTGAAATACAACTCCGGCGCAGGTGACTTTCCATGAACGCGAGAAAGTCCACTGCTGCAAGAAGGATTCCTTTGTCTAAATGATTTTGGTGGCAGCGGGGTGAGCAGCTACAACTGGTAACAATTCAGGCTTAACGCTTGTGTCTAACTCGTTATACTTCGTCCCCCCCCCCCCCCAGCCAGGTACAGCGTCACTGATTTTGAGTTTGGGAACGAGCGGAGGACAGGATTTTCTAGGGACCTCCTGGGCAGAGTGGGGACTCTCCACTGGGGGCTTTTGGTCAGTTTATATTGAAGGGGGATGGGCATCGACGGCATGTGCTCCCTTATCAAATTGTTACATGCGTAATACCTAAGTACATGAGGACAATGCCAGTCTTAATAGATGTCGAAAACAAAAAATCCAGAATGGGGCCATTCTGATTTTCAGCCAAGGGTCACGCTGTCATAAAATAAGGCCTCATGTTCCAAAAAAGGGCCTCCTGGTGCAGAGAAAGACGTCCTGATTCAGAACAGGATGCTTCGCATTAACAAAGGGAGCTTCCAAATATAGCCACGGGGCCTTGTTATCACAATACAGGGCATCCTGATTCCCAATCGTGACCATCTGATATATGAGAATGGCTTCTTGTTTCAGAGATGGAGCCTCCTGAATAAAGAGGATACCTCCTAACCCAGGAGAGGACATCCAATTTCGCAACGGGGGCCTCCCGAGCCAGCAAAGGACCTCCGTAACACAGCACTGATCCTACCGATGTAGAGCGCGGGATGGCATATTCATAAAGCTGGCTTTATGCTCCAAAAAGGGATCTATTCATGAAGGAACGTGCCTGCTTAGCCCGATTTATTGCCGTCTGCCTCAGTTTACCGGACATCCTTTATTTAAATTCTGGTAATTTGCGAGTGACTACAACGTCTTAAGTTTGGGAAAGGGGCCTGCCCACTTTTTGGGTGGGAAAGCATGCTCTCGCCCGCTCTGCCGCCTGCCGCGCCACCCCTGCACCTAGCACCACTATGCCGTTTGACGGCGTCATTTCGTCACCGCCTCTATCGAGAGCATACCCGATAGAACCACTTCGACATTATTAGATTTTTCACAGGTACCCACACACATGTCTGTCCTTTCCCGGCGGTTATTCGCATGCTATCCACGTAAGTACACCGCCATTTTCGTTCGCCACGCAAACCAACAACTGCCGCGCTCTTTATTGGCTCAGACTTGGCCTGCGGTCTGCGGGCACACTGCCGGTTCTCTGCGGGCGCGCCGTCCGCTGATGCGGCCTGAGTGTCGAGACGCCGGGTGGTGGCGGCCCGCTGGCGCTCCGGTAATGCCCGCCCGTGGCAGCGTCCGCGCGTCGGAGAACGGTGCCACCGGCGGCGAGGAATTTCGCTCGAGGTTAACGCCAGTCTGACGCATGAACTGACACGATGCGCTGGATCTTTTTAAAGTTGGCAGGAATCCGGTGGCAGCGCTGGTGTGAGTTATACGTGCTGAATTATCGGTCGCTTCATATTACTATAAAATTGAGGTAGTAATCAGCCCATGGCTCGATGCTTCTCGTTATGACGACATTCACGAATATCTGAAGCAGCGTGTAGGTAAAGGTACACACTTCCTAAAAGAAACACAGCACTGGGACCGTCCAGATCTTCCCAGCGGGAGTCACGTGTCCTTCTGCTCGATTGCCTGCCGTGCCTCCGTCTTCTCCGATAGGCAATTCCAAGAGGTAGCAACAACATCCGTGGTTGGGCGCGTGGGGGTAGAAACAGGGGGGGGGGGGGGCCGGGGGCCATGGCCCCCCACTTTTCAAGGTGCGGGGGTAGAAGTGCTAACTGCCCCCCCCCCCTCCCCATTTTTCAGATTAAAGTTGCATTTGGCTTACTTTTGCACTATAGTAAACATGCCTGCTGATTTACCTAATTCACCAGCCATCTCCCTCAAAATGCGTCATCTTTTTCATTTGCTCATTGACCATCGCTTTATGTTACAGCCACAAGGCCGACGCCGCACAGCCTGGAGACTGCAACGCCGGGCGTCGAGGCTGTTACTGCCGTGACGCGTGCACGCGCGTTCGATACCATATTACGTAGTTTTCTTGTCAGTAATCAGCTCTGCCTGGATCTTGAGCATTTTAAGATGAACGTGGGTTAGCCATGTCAATACAAATTAGGAGCCCCATTTCATCTACAATCTACAGTCAGGGAGAACTCATATCTTTGAAAAACACAGAAAAAACACGGAACTGGATTCTATGTGACAACTATCGGACTACCTGCGGTGATCAGGGATGTTGTTGCGTCAATGAGAGTTCCTGTGCTGATCCGGGGCTAACTGCGCGGGTCAGAAGACCTCCCGTATCAGGGATGGGAACAACGTGATGTGAAATACCCTTCTAATGGCCTCCGGATCGACCAGGAGATCCCTCCGTGCCACCAGAATGATAGCCAGAAGACACTTCGCGATGGGGCGGAATGGCCCTTCAGCACTTGACCGGAAGCGGAAATGTACCCCTGGTGTTCTACTCAAGAGCCCCCTTCCTCGGAAGGGTCTCATTATTGTTGAGTAGAGTGGGGCTCTCATTGTTGTTGAATAGCGCGGGTCGAAATGAATTTAAAAAAGACGAGCAGAGTCATGCCGTGTTTGTCTGAGGGCGTTCATTTTTGAGAGTATGTTATTGAAACAAAGTACATCAAAAGGCTTGAACATGCCCACCCGCAACCTCGAGAGAAGGGACAAGGATGGTCTGGATTGCAACTTCCGCAGAACCGAAAAGTTTCTGCCACTGAGAGTGCCACCAGACGACGGGCATCGTGTTAATCTGCCTTCTGGACAGATCAATGGCTGCGAAAACACGAAAAATAGATATTTTGTCTTCACTCTTCCAGTTCAACCACCATATTTCAGCCCCAATTCGCGATGCTTTAAGGGCCAATCCGTTACTTCCATCAGCCTAAAAATTGCACACATGAAACATGCGCTCAGACTGCCTTCTAGATGCAAGATATGATGTTATGAAACGTCCAAGGATACCTTGTCAAACGTGTCGTCATTTTCGTCCACCCATTGGCTACAACCCAATATCAGCTGCTAGACCGACGCTGCGCGGCCTACGGAGACTGTAACGCCTGTGGTCGAGGCTTGTGTTTCTAGAATTTTCGAGTGCGCATGCTCAAAATTACGTCGCACAACTTGTCTTACTACTTGTTTTTAGTGTTTAAAGTTAATAATTTCAGAAGTATCATCATTGTCGTCCACCGGTGGGCCACGGCTAAATACTAGCTACCGGGCTAACGCTCCGCGTACTACGGAGACTGCAACGCCTGGTGTCGAGGTTTTGTTGCTACGATTTGCAAGCGCGCATGCTAAAAAAACACGTTACATAAATTGTACCACAAATCAGTTCTGATTGAATGGTGAACATTTTCAGACAAACATGGCTTGGCCATGTTGATACATATTGTTGACCACTCAATCTACAATCAAATTTTCGTATTCAGATCTGGATCAAACATATCGATCGACAATCTACCTTCGCGATGTCCTCAATGTCTGTAGAACCCAGATAAAAAATTGACAAAGCTTCTGAACTTTATTGGCTTAGAAAGAATCAACTAACCATTGTAAATCAAGAGCGCCGGTGATTTCTTCCATGCGATGGTTCAACGTCTGATTTCTGCAGTTTATAATCCTCAAAATGCAAACAGAGTTGGGCTCACTGCAGCTCCTGGTTTCTGTTCTGGTTACAAGGTAAAAATAACAATAAAGCGAAGAAAACCATCTCACTTGTTAACAAATAAGCTATATCCGGGGATTTTTTTGGATGGGGATCACCATAAGATGGGCTTTTGTCAAACTTGTGTTCCCCACGGCAAGACTCTGGCTACGCCCCTGCCTGCACACAAAAGCAAATAAAGTCGTGTACGTTGCATGATGGACAATGAAGTGTCATTTGGGCCAATTCGTACCTTAGGCAGACAGCTCCCTGGAGGCTGTTTTTCTGCGATGGTGTGGTGTGAGGGAAGATAATTCGGAAAAAGATGCTGTTGCAGGTTTCCAGCACGTGTTTCACACACCATGTAGTAGTAACGCAGGTCCGAACGTATGCAACAAAGCGGCCATACGATCAACTCGCAGTCAGTCATGCGGGAGACGTCCGGGCCAGGGCGGTGGCCACCGACGGCGGACAGGAGCAGGGCCCAGATAAGGAACGTATGACAGATGGGCCTTATTTTGTGGCTTGATTCGTAAAAGAGAATCTCCAGTTTTATGGCTTTTATCACGTTGTTTCTGGCATTTCAAGCTCCCGAATTTGTTTCCGCCTAAAATGCCGCGACAAGTCTTATCTCTTGAAAAGCAGCCAGCGGAATGAAGGCGCATGACAAATCTGTCGCACTTTGAGACATTGATCCACTTCCAAAATTCTCACCAGTCTGTCTCCTAGCCGTATTTTGGCATTAACACTCTGGAGGCAGATGCCTCCTTAATGACCCAAAATACCTACCCGATCGTCGAATTTCGCCTCCCCAGGAAGGACAATGTTAAAATGGAAGAATAATCTAGGGAAGCTGGATAGCCTTATCTGCCAAATGGCAGATAAGTCGAATGTGCAAGATTGTGCACCAGTGATAAACAGCTTTAGGTGCACATCTAGCATAGCAGCCATGACATTTGAATAAAGAGCGATAACAACCTCCATCCCCCCCCCCCCCCCCCGGTTATCGGGCTGGCATTCAAGAAAAAGTTCCTGAAGTACACTCTGAGCTTACCCTCCCCCACTTAATGAAACACTCCTACACCTATGGTTGGGTGATTGGTAATGTAAATCAGTTTATGAGAAATGTAAAAATATAAACTCAAAT